AAAAAAAAAAAAAAAAAAAGAAAGAAAAAGAAAAAAAGAAATATTTAGTCTTCTCCAAGCTAGCATCAGAGTTTTTCCTCTAGTCCTGAATGGGATGTTTTAAAGCAGCGAGCTCCTCTTCTTTGGTTGTGTGTATGCTTTTCTTGGTAACTAGCTGGTTGCAGCAGTTTATAGGCCTGCTTTTGTAGAAGAGGCCCAAGATGAACTCCCTTCCCATGCCCTGAAATATAGTTTGAAATAGTAACTATGGAGAAATAGTTGAGTGACATCACTCCTTCCACTGCAGACAAGTGCCATTTCTAGATTAATTGAAACGATTTCTATAACTACGATTACTGGGTAAGACTCTATGTTGTTTAGCCCTCCCATTTCTTGATTACACACTGAATTTTATTCTACATCTGAGAAAAGTACATTCATAAAGCATTTAGGTGTGATTAAAGTGTTTAGTGACCGAGAGGTATCTAGTAAAAATTGTACTCAACAGAGTACCTTGCATCCTCTCAAATGAACACTAACATACAGATGAAAATATACCACAAAATACAAGCAGAGTCAAATGTTCTTCCCCTCACTGGTAGCCATTGCATCAATTTCTGTGATGGCTTCTAAACATATATTCTATGAATTAAACCCCTAGCTAAGAAGATTTGGGTGGGAGGCAATGGACATGGAATGAGATACTTCCCAATGGGCAAATCTAAGGCTCGAACAGGATTGCGGTGGGCAGGGAGGACAGACAGACTAGCAGAATACAACTTCCTCTTTTCTTCCTTTTTGAAAGCTGCATTTATAGTATATGCATAAATCCTCATATACATACCCCCCCATATACATGTACAAAAATAGACATTGTGGTCATTTAAAATGCCCTTGAATCATATTTCAAGGCCCTCTAAGTAACTGATAAAAAGTGACTTTCATTATTAGCTGTCATTTCACTAAGTGGTTTTATTTGAAATAGGTCACCTTCTCGGGGTCAATTTTGCTCTGTGTGTGTTTAGTTTTAATCTGTCCAATTTAACGCAAAGTGAAAGGTACTCACACATTTCAAAACAGCCCTGTAAAATAGCAGAGAGACTAAACTTATACAGCTGCCATGATGTCTGATAACTCCTTGGATTCCAAAGCTTTATTCCCCTATCTTTTGACAATTTCAGATTTTGGGAAAAGTTCTGGGTTTTAACAAACTAAGAATGTGACTTCAAAACTCAAGGCAATAAGCTAAAAAAAAAAAAAAAAAAAAAGATTCCCCTTGCTCTAGAAATGCAAATCATATATATTACATTTTCATATGCAAATTGTATACAAAACTCACTGTGTTATTATGATGATTTGTTATGGATAAATAATAGCAAGTGATATGTATCTCTAAGTCACTGATAGACCTACGTTGAATAGACATCAATCCTAAGCTTCTTCTGGACAGGAACATATTTTCTAACTATATTCCAAAGAAGAGGTATGTCCATGAGTAAGAGGGAGAATGCTTTCTGCCATAGAGGGCCTGATGGACAGGGTTGGGGAGACAAAGAGCAATGTGGGGGACACCTAGTGAGAAATGGATTCAGATGGGTGAAGACTATAGAAAGGACTGCTGTAATTAGCATGGATTGACGACAGTGCACACCAATAAGGGAAATGAATCAAAATCCCTATAGCAAGATGCCTCATTGAGTACTCTACTGAGATCAGACATCATTACTTCCAGTTGAAAAAGCAGCTTATAGCCCTCTATTTATTTCTCTGAAAGATTCCCTGCTTTGGCTGCTTTTCCCATACTTGCTGATTAGGAGTGGGCGGCAAAAAGCACGCCAGAATATTTTGCTGGGGGTCATGTCATTTTTGGGGGCCTACTTTGGTCAAAGCACAGGACTAAAATGGCACTTCATGTACAGCATCTTACTGATTTTTACAGAAAGAAAGCCAAGGTTTTTGCCATTGCCAAATGGAAGTTTTTGGTTGCAGGTTCATGTCCCACGTTAACAGCAGAACTGGGGGTGGGGAGAATATCAACATGCTGATATTAACCAATTAGAAACTGCAACTTTCAATTCATCTCCAATTAGACCTGAGGAAATAAAAACCCTGCCACTTACTAGCCAAATGTGGACACTCCAATCTACTGATTAATGAGGCAGAACTTTATGGCCTGTGCTTAAGGAGTCAGAGACCCAGATTAAAATCCTGCCTCTTTACTAACTGGCTCTGTGATATTGAGCAAGTTCTCTGAGGCTTCTGACAACCACTCTTCTCACAGGGTTTTTATGAAACTTAATAAAGTAGGTGAAACACAGTGCCTGCTACGTAAGTGATCAGTAAGTGATAACCGCTATGATTAACAATACAGTATTGTAATTTTGTAGGGAGTGCTGGATTCCCACTTTACAGTTTTGACAGTTGAGCTAATTTTCACTTTGATCAACAAAATCACCTGCCATGTTAATTACTAAGTACATGTCAATGAATAGACAATTTTTTACCAGACTGTAATGCAAACCTAAACACAGAAATCAGGGAATCTGCAAGGCTGAGGTGACCACTCATTATTCTAAGTCAGGGCTTCTACACTGGAGCTGATTTTGTTTCCCCGGATCAATGTCTGGAGGTGTTTTCCGTTGACACACCTGCAGGGGATTTGCTGCTGACATCCAGCGGGTGGAGGCCAGGGATGCTGCTAAGCATCCTAAAATGCACAGGACAGTCTCCCACCACAAAGACTTATCCATCCCAAATGTCATCACTTCCACAGTTGAGAAACTGTGTCCTAAATGGTGCTGTATGTCCTTTGTATCAACAGCTGTTATTTGCTGAAGCTACCAAAAGGAAGATTGACAGGAGTAATTTAAAATACGTCATTTAGCCATGCACTTTAAAGAAAGGATTTTGTGGTTCTTTTGAAAACTTCCCCCCTAAGTATAGTTAACATCATAATTAGGTCAAAATAACACCTTTGGAGCTAAGAAAGAAGAAGAAACTTGTTCTATTAACATGTATATTTTGTATATTTGTTGGGTTTTTACCCAGCCCATTTACCTAAATGACACGATTTCACTTCCAGAGCACAAGCTGCACCTTAAACAGATGAAAGCCACAGTCTAATCAGGACATATAAATTGAAGGTAGATGCGCCTGGGTCTATGCTCCCATCTTGGTCTGAATTGAGTTCTTCAATGCTGTGCTTCACCAAAATCAATATTTTTCCAAGTAAATGATAATTGTAAAATGTTATCATTTTTTCTCTCTGGATGGTCCCCTTCTCTGAATATCAATTAGCACAAGTAAACAGGGACTTTTATTCTTTGTTTGTGATAGTACAAGAGGGCCCTTGTGCTCTCAGAATAGTTATTTCTAGACTTCAATTCCCTTAGGACAGTTTCCTCTCTAAGTGTTCCTTCCACTTTATTTTTTTCTAAGTAGTTAACTTGAAATAAAGCATTTCAAATAATCAAATAAAAGGAAAAAAAATGCCTAACATGAAGAATGTTAAATTTAAAACTTACTGTGGGAAAAAAAATTAAAATGTTAATAGGTTGTAGTAGCTTTTTAATTTAATTTTGACAACTAAAACCCAAGTTCATCAAGAATAAGAGCTAGTAACTAACTTTTAGTGAGAGCTTATCAGGGCCCAACTGTTCTAAATACTTTTTTGTGGATCACCTCTTATAATTCTCACATTAATTCTATGGCAGTAGATGCTATTATGATCCCCATTTTACAGACAAACAGAAGCAGAGAGCTCAAATAACTCACTTGAGAGTATGTATTCAGATGTCTGGTTCAGAGTCTGTGCTCCTAATGTTGAAGTTACATTGTCTTTCCTTTAATGGCAAAATGCTGAAACAGATTTGTTGGAAGAAAACTCTAATGGAGCCACATTTAGCCTTTCCAGCATGGGGATACAGAAGAGAAGACGATACTGGGATAAAGTCAGTGACTTCTAAGGGTGGTTTCAGGGGACTCCTTTCCTGTTTGGGAATTAATTCAACTGTGCCCAGAGGATCTTTCCTATCTGGAAATTCCCTTGAGATGATCTTTCTCCTTCAGAATCAGCCTTCTCCCTTCAAAGAGCTAAAAGAGTCTCCCCCTTCTAGACAGGTACCCACCTGCCTCTGTGAGAACAGGAAGCATACCTGAATCATCTTTGTGTCCAAAGCACCTTGCCCGGTGCTGGCCACCTATTAGGCATATTAATAAATGCTAAATCAATCTTTAATATAGTTTAGGAGCAACCAGATAATGAAGGAACAAGGCCTCAAGGCTAATGTAGACTGAATGAAGAGGCATGAGGATTCATTCTACTTTTATATTTTTAAATTTGTTTTTTAGAGACAGGGTCTTGCTCTGCTGCCCAGGCTAGAGGACAGTGGTATGATCATGGTTCATTGAATCCTTGAATTCTTGGGCTCAAGTGATCCTCCCATATCAGCCTCCTGAGTAGCTAGGACTACAGGTATGTACTACTACCTCACCCAACTGTTTTTTTACATTTTTTAATAGAGACAGGTTCTCTCTATGTTGCTCAGGCTGATCTCCAACTCCTGGTCTCAAGTGATCCTCCTGCCTCGGCCTCCCAAAGCGCTGGAATTACAGGTGTGAGCCATAGGCCCAGCCAGGTGTTCATTCTAAAGGACAGGAGCATATATGGGGTCATGACAACTATCTTCAGAAGGGATGGTATGTGGAAAAGTTCTCCATGAAGCAAACTGGAACCCATGCTGCAATTTACAGAGTGATTTACTGTGGGGGATATCATGAGATAGATATGTCTCACGGATATCTCACATAGAGCTTGACACATTATAGGGGCTCAATGAAGATCAGCTGAATAAACAAATACTATCAATATTATTTAATATTATAATTAAAAAGTTATACTTAATAATTTAGGTTACATTATTGAATACAACTAATGTTAGTGAGTTGACTGCACAATATAGGTATATTTAACAGTCCCATTTTACAGATGTAGAAACGTAGTTTCAAAAAGCTAAATGACATGCAAGGTCACAGAGGAAATGGCAGATTCAGGACGTGACCCCAGATCTGGTCAGAAATCTCTAAATCCTAACCATTGTGCTTTGCTATTTCCCTAATGAGCTAGTACAGATCCTTTTTTGGAGGCTTCCAAGAAGCTGGATGCCTGATTACTAAGTTAGACCAAATGATATCAAAGGTCTTTGCCATTACAAAAAAGAAGTCAGTGATTTTACAGAATCATGTCAATTCTACAGTCCACTTGAGTGTGCCCAGGGACCCATTTGACACCACTAGCAAGATGACCGCTCTCATGACCAAGTTCTTTTGAGATGACTGGGCCATTGCTAATTAATGCTGCTAGAGCAGTGAAACATTGTAAATATACCCATGTCTTTGGGTATATTTATAAATTCCCCAGGGCATGCTCCATCAAGTGTTTTGTTCATGTTCATCCTAGGATTCTGACTGCTAGACAAGTGTAGTTGGCCCCATGGGATACACCAACTTGTAAACAAAAAGGTTTCATAGAAGCCAACTAAGGATTCCTAGAGGTTGGGAGAGTTTGGAATGGAAACTTTTATCACAATAGCAGAACATGTGGTTCTTCCAAAATCAGGGGATGGGTTTAAATGGGTGGAAAGTAGACAAACTCTAAATATCATAGAAGAAGCTTGAGGTTTCAAGAGGAGTCCTCACCCCACATGAGTTCAAGGAAGTGAGCTTGAAGAACTGGACCAAGATGGATTAAGAAAAAGAAAAAAGAAAAAAAATGCTAACTATAAGACTCAATTTTCTGTGGATTCTGGTGTACCTAAATAAGCGCTATCTTGTTCCCTGGCCAAGGGAATTTACTATCAGAAGTTAGTCTTATCTTTAAAAAAATTTATTTTGGCAAAATAAATACATGTCATAAAATTTGCCATCTTAACCAGTTTTAAGTGTACAGTTCAGTAGTGTTATGTACGTTCACGTTTTTATCAGACAGATCTCCATAATTTTTCCTCTTACGAATCTGAGACCCCATACCCATTAAACAACTCCTTTATTCCCTTTCCTCTCAATAAATATTAGTCTTTAAAATACTAGTTATTAAGAATATGATAGCCTCATAGCATTGCTGTCAGAGAAGACAGAAAAGGATTACAGAAGGTATTTGAAGACTTACCAAGAAGGCCTGGCTCTGATACACCCAAGATATGTAATCTTGTGTAAGACCATCTAACCTAGTTACCATTTAAAACTGAGGGCAATGATACCATCCGAACCTGACTCACAGAATAATTGCAAGGACTAAACAGTATCTGCAATAAGACTTTGGTAAAACAGTGACATAAGACTAAAATGTAAGGAATGAAGGAAAATAAACAATATAGGCAAGCCTCTAAATTACAGAGAATAACAAGTAACATACAACAGTAAATAGAACCATTGGTTCATAAACTGAAGTTGGAATAAATTTTGCTGTTGGAGAAGGGTAACCCCAATGTTTCTCTATCCCCTAAGAATATGAAAAAAACTTCTTGAAAAACCGCACCAACTTTTTCAGGCCAACTAGAACACCATTGTGAACGGTGCAATTCAAAATAGTTCCTTTGGCTAGAGGGTTGGGCATTAGATGTCAAGGGAATTGGAAGGGCTAATGTCCTACTGAAACTGTTCTTGGACTCCAGAGAATGTAGAATTTATCATGGAGTCATTCATAAACTTATAAAAATTCTTAATTTCTGATGACAAAGTCACTTACTTTTGATCCTGATATAATTCTCCATTTTACGATTAGTACATTTCATCAGTGAACCAGTTGCAAAGACACACTAAAAGTTTAAGAAAAAAGAAGAGAACCCTGGAAACACCTCAAGATTTTGTATTTAAAAAAAGGTTATCAATACCGTATTCGCCATTTGCAAAGCAGGATCCATCAAGCCCAAGATTTCCTCATTATAACTTGATTCTAGACTAATGATGTCATCAATTACATCATCCATCTGTAGGAAAACGGGCAACAGGAGAGAGACAAAAATAAATAAAACTATGTAACACAACCCAAAAAGAGACTCATGGTCTTTTTTTACCCAAAGTAATAATGGTCTTTAGTTAGATTCTAAGAAGTAATTGTCCTCTTTCCACTCAAATAAAATGCTACTGAAGACCATCAACACTAATAGGTGATGAGAATGATACTTGTAGCCAGCATTTAATGAGTGATTATGAGTTGCCAAGCACTGGGTTCAGGGATTTCCATGGGCTAAGTTTTCACCCTAACAAAAACCCTATCAGGCAAGTACTATTATTATAGCAATTTTCCAGTTGAAATAAATGAGAAGCAGCTTGCCCAAAGTCACACAATGAAGAAAGACTGGAGGCATGATTTAATTCATCCTTTCACAACTATGCTAAACTGCCTGCCCTAAATAGGAAGGTATACCAGAGCACCTCATCACGAATGATAGCTGTCATTCTACTTCCTTTTTTCCCTAAAGACGATGGCCCATACCGTTTTCTTAGAAAAGGAAAAAGCAAACGGTGATTTTGCCCTTTGGTTCCACAGGGATGTGTGGACAGTGTGGCTCCCAGGCCACTGGCTGTCCCTACACCCAGCCTACAGTGACTTGTAAAATAAGTTTCTCCTTGTACAGCTGCCAGTGTGGTTGGTACTCCCCAAGGAGTACACCAGGACGAGGTTATCATTACAGTCGTAGAGCTGACATTCCCACTAGATCAATTTTATTTCTGAAGTACCAAAACATCAGTTATGATAATAAACAACAGTGATTACATGTGCATTGCAGCAGTTTCAAAGACAAGTCTGTGAAAACATTTCTTTGTAAACACCTATGTATTTGGGCTAGTTGGTATGTCTGTGCTTGGGTCTTAATAGTACTTCATAGTTATACATGACATCTCAGAACTAACAGGGATGCTCTTGCGTCTCTTTTGCCACTTACATTAAAGAGAAGAGGCTCCAACATCATGGGTTTGGGTTGGAATCCCAGTTCTCTCACTTTTTAGATTAGGGGCAAAGCCTCCAATCTTTTAAAGCCTCAGTTTGCCAATCTATAAAATGGGGGGTAATACTATTTACTGTCATATGGATTCTTATATGATTTCAGGACAAACTGTACAGTGTTCAAAGTACCAGAATATAGTAAATACTCAAAAAAGAAGTCTTATTAAATGATCCCTAAGAAGAATAATTGGCCAGTTTTGAATAACTACTATACAGTGTTTGTTAGGTTCCATTTCTATTGACATCACTTTTATTTGTTTTGTTTGTCTTTACGAGATGATTTTCTAATTGTAAATAGGCAAATAGGCTAGGAAACTTATGAACAAAATTTCCTTGCTATTTTTAATTTCGTTTTAAGAAAATTAAATTAGTGGGCTTGATGTGATAGCATTTTTAAAATAATTTTTTTCTCTTATGACAAAAGTAATGCAAGTTGATGACAAGAAATAAAGGCAAAAAATTCTGTTGCTTATTATTCTCTCCTATATCTATATACATGCATAGATATATAAATAGATATAGCATAGTTTATATGTCCACTAAATGGGATGCAATGGAAGAAACTTTAGTTACTTGGGAAAGCATCCATTAAGTATTATTAAATTAATAAAGATAGTTTCAAAATATATGCTCCATGAGATTCCATTTAGGAGACAATATAAAGATTACACACACACACCTTGGTTTTCCTAATACAAAAATTGCTAACCTACAAATTTGCATAACATATTGATAATGTTGAATGACGTATTTGATATCTTATTTATTAAAATTTATATACTTTAAGAAGTTTTTAATGTTTTGGAACAACTTAGGGGAAAAACACATTTTAGTTTATTCTCCTTTGTCATTATTTAATCATGAGATACTATGAGGAAAATGGCACTGTTTATAGCTTTCTCTATTAAAAAAAAAATCAATGGGGTAAAAAAAAAACCTTAAGTTTTCAGGAAGGTGTGATCCACCACAAATATAGACTCTCATTACAATGTGTTATATCCTCGGCTGCCAAGTCACTTAGTACCTGCATACAGGATGCTCGTGAATGCGTGTTCATGCCTGGGCACTCGCTCTCTGCCCTGTTTTGCTCTTCAAACTTATAAAATCCCTGCAAAAACACAAGCAAAAACAGCCTGTAACTTGGATTTGCAAATGACTTTTTAATGACCGCTTCACACAAAGCTGATGGCACAGCAATAAGATGAACTAAGCTTTCAAACAAAGTGGAATCTGACCAAAACATGAAATAATGAAGGTAGAACTTCTGTCAAATCATCTCGCTAGATGACAAATATGGGTAGAGAAAAATAAAGCCGTTGGTTTGGGCATAGGGGCAAAGATTTTAGTCCCTCTAGAAATTAAAATCAACCCAACTTGAGAAAAGTTGCCTCTGAATTTGCACAAACACTTCATAGTATATAGAACAGTAAATCCCATTAAGATGAAGCTCATCATCTCATAATTTGGAAATAATGAGCATTGAATCACAACTCTCAGGTATTCGTATGCTCCAAATTTTGATGCACCAATTAGCTTGAAGGTAGTTTGAGTCTTGTCTCCAATCCAGCCTTTACCAAAGCAGATTTAACAGGCAGCGGCAATTTTATTATGAAACAGAATGTATCCAGGAATTAAGCCTTTGCATTTCTGTTAAATTCTCATGTGCTATATGATTCAAATCCATCCATGCACATTCCATGCTTTTTTTTCCCCCAACTCAGGGAGAAATAAAAATAATATTCCAGACATTCACAACAAGCGGAACTTCTAAACCGCCTGTCCCACACCTCTTCTATTTTTGCTTTTCCTTTTCCACCTCCCCTTCTCCTCTCTCTGCATTTTCACTCTTCATAAACTGACAGGCATGGAAGAGAAGAGAGCACTTAGCTAAGGAAGAAGAAGCAAGTGGCAAAAGTGTCCTCGCCTCCACGTTTTACTTGGAGCGGGCCAGATCTCCCGTCATGTGCCGTACACCCAATAACCCAGCGACGGCGACAAGAGGCTGGAATGCCACAGCCAACATGGTAATCGGTGACACAGGCTGGTACATGTGGCCATAAGGACAAACTAGAGTCCACAGTTAAGTGTGGGAGTCATATTCAACAGACAAGTTATTTAGCGTAAGAAAACAGGAGAGGAGAGGAGAGGAGACATGAATTACCTCTTTTTCACAGTTGGAGTTAAGCGTAAGCATAGCCATGGGGCTGTTGGGTGCGCTGCTCCCCGGCACTGGTGGCATGACATGATCGCCAGGCTGGTTTGGACATGGCAAGCTCAGGACTTGGTTGGCATGTTTATTTGCTAAAGTGGTAGAAAGGTACTGCTTTACCTGCTGCCGCTGGGCTTGCTGTATGTGGTACTTGGTGGGGTTTTCAAGGTGGGTCTGCACCTGAACATAGCCATGGAGGGAAAAGAAGACAGCACGATTATTTGTGAGTTTCAGACAGCTCTTCTTTCAGGCACAAACATGAAACTGACCAGTCCACCAACAGAAGAAATTATTAAGCCTTTGTTATGTACCAGGCACTGTGCTAACGGATTTTGATATTACTGAAGTTTAAAGTCTAACTCGTAGGATTTGGGGTAATACTTTGCCCTATTTTATTTCCCTGCTAATTAACTATACATCTCCTTCAAACCTTACATCCTTCTTCTCATACCTAATAACTAAAAGTTTGAAACTCTCTTAGGGGAAAAATTTCCCCAACACACATGAAAGGGTTTATTAAGATGAAAACAATTTAGAAAAAGTGGCGTAACTCAGTTTATTTCATTTTCCTTGGCAAACAGAACAGCTTTCTTTTTAAAACACACACATACATTCATGTACAAACACACACACACACACACACACACACACACCCCTCCTTATGAACCAACTGTGTAAAACAGCTATAGAAAATAAACAGAAACCTTCCAATGATTAAATCAACTAGTTGTGGATTAATTCTCCCACTTTCATTTGGACATGATTATTCAACATTTTAATTAAGAAAAAACTCAACATAAAAGCAATTCTACATTAAGCAGTTTCTTTCAAATGCATAACACTTATATGTATATGTTTTAAAAGGCATAACTATTAACAAACCACCAGGATATTTTTTCTCCTTTCCCACAGACATTAATTCAGAATGAGAAATATTTTTCCCAAAAAAACAACATTATTCAATTTTAAGTCACTTTTTTCTTGATAAACACAATTTAATCTTATGAGCAATTGAACAGGGGCTGATGAAGATGGTTTAGCCATGCACTAGGCAAAACAAAAATTCTACTAATATTTACTTTGTTCAGTTCTTATGGCATCAAATAATAAACAGCATTAAAAGACCATATTTGTACTTATCGAAAACAGTATGTTTATTACAATAACATAAAAAGTGGATTAAATCAATTTATTGCATTATATTTCAAAGATTGAATATGAGTCAGAATAAGCTCACCTGATAGTGATTATATTCTAGCATTTCCAGCATAACAACGTTTTAAGTGACCCCAATCCAATGTGAGACAGTAGACTATTGCTTCCTCTGCTTTCTGTAATTCCAATTTGAAGACAGACTGGCATAGAGAAGGCACTATAAACAAGGTATCCCGAGACACCACCGGAAACTTTATCACAGAAGCCCTGCTTATAATAACCTAAGCTAATTAGTTATGCATGTAAAAAAAAATTGTTCACACAAGGGCCTTTTTTTTTTTTTTTGGTTTGGAAGCCCTACGAGTTTGGTCTTAAATATTGGTATCAATTTTTCCCCCTGGCTTGATGTCATGCTTTTTTTCATAGATATAAAGGAACCTTTTTAAGTGATGAGCTATCAAAGTCAAACTCACTGTCAGATCAAGGCCAATTCACTATTCATCTTTAGTTCCAGTAGTATTAATAGACAATGGTATTTCTCTTTCATCAATAGGTTAATAGCTGGTTGCCCCTTTGGAGGAGACATCATCTAAAAGCTACTATTACATGAGACTTTTCCAGTGGCTGAATAACTGCCACTTCCAACTGCAGGATGACTATTTTTTAGTATAGGAAAAGACTCTGTGCTGAACGTTCAAGTTCAACAGCCTCTTCTTGCATCCTGGTCTTAATACGCACCTTATTCTTAGCTGGGTAAATGTGTAACCTGCCTATTGACCTCACATCAGGAAGGTAGGAACTATACTAAATAGAACGTAGCACACACAGAAAAGAGGTATATTTATGTGGATAACAAGAAATAAATATCTCTCATTTGACTCTCAAATGAAAAAGCATGAGCATTTTTACTGAGAATTTTTAAATATTATTCTTAAGTCTATAGAAGAATGAGTTACCATATACACAATTCATACCTTTACATATTTATTCCTTTATTCATTAATTATTGACTGTTATGTGCTAAACACTGTACAAAGCATAGAATATACATTGTGAACAAACAGATATAACTTCCAGCTTTATGAAATTTATATTCTGGGGTGAGGCAAAAAGAGAAGAGAGGCAAGCAAATATATACCTATACATTATGATAAATGCTTAACATCTACTGCTGACAAATGTTAAGCATAAAAATTTGAAATTTATTGATGTTGTTTAAATGCCCCGGATAATGCAGCCCTTTAGGTTGACAATCTTAAGTTCTTTGAAATGACTGATTTAACATGTACACTGAGGTTCACAGAGACATTTTTTTTGTAAAGGGTCCAGACATGATAATAATGAGGACAACAGATATTACTAAAATAAACATAAAATGAGGGCAATGAGTGGAATGTGCTTATTTCACTATTACACTTAAAAAGGAAAGAGATTCACATTTAAAAATAAATGTTAATTCACTGGTAGATCCTCATTCTTTAATGAATCAGAATATTATGCCTTAGTAAAGAAAGAAGCAATTTGCTTTCTATGTGGCACCGTCAGTGAGGTCTTTATTACATCCAGGTTTGGGTAAGCAGAGTGGGATATATTTGGCTCTTTTACTATCAATAATTTTTTATTTTTCAATGAAGTTGAAAGCAGATGGCCTATAAACACTATGCAGGAGACAGAACATCTCCAGCTGTTTCCAACCCAAACACTTCAAACAGGCAACAAAAATGAGGAACATGAGCTAGGAGGAAGGTAATAGTGAGTAAGGAGTAGTGAGGTCTGTGGCAAACTAGAGGACACACATCTACCAGGCAGGAACAGCAGATACAAACTGCAGCTGATTGTGGCCATGTGGGAATACCAGTCCAGTCTAGCTCGATCTCCCAATTTTTCAAGGGTAGCTGGCAATCCAAACTTCTTTTTAAATTAAAATCCTGTAGGTTTAAAAATCTGATGCCCAACTATTTTGTGTTTCACAAAGTACAAGCCTCAGCCCACAAACCACTAGAAAATAATCTCTGTTGTACACACCTATAAGGATAATCTTCATATTTACATTCCCTTGGAGATGGCCTCAGTTATAAGAAGAAGTTTTTTTTCTGAGAAGTTAATGTCCAAATCCAGGCATTTCCTGGTGCTTCTTTGAGAGAGAACGTGCCTGACAACACAGTCAGTGGAGTAGTTAAGAGCTTGAAACCTGGGTTCAAATTCTGTCTTTGCAACTTACTACCCGTGTACCTTCCGCAGATCATTAACTTCTCCAGGCCAGCATCTCCTTGTATATTGAATGGGCATGACAGTAGAGCTTGCCTACTAAATGTGTTTCCTGCATTAAATGAGATCATGTTTCTAATGGCCTTAGCACAATATCTAAAATAGTAATTCTCATTTTTGTCTTAGGATCCTTTTACATTCTTCAAATTTATTGTATTTACATGGATTATATCTATCAATATTTAGCATATTAGAAATTAAAATTGAGAAATTTTGAAAACACAATTATACATTAGCACATATCTCACAGGATGTCAGAACAATGACATCTCAACATGACATGTAGCCTTTGGAAAACTCTACTGTATACTGGTGAAATGAGAGTGAAAAAGGAAAACTATATCTTAGTGTTATCTGGCAGAACCCCTGCAAGAGTCTTGGATACAACCACGGCCCTCTGATTATAATTTGAGAAACCTTGATCTAGAATGTGGTGGCATTCTAGCATCATCACTGTATCAGCAATGTCACTCCCCACTGTGGACAGGTGGTATGTGACATAGCCTCTATATGTCCACTTCCCTCCCTCAGAAGATGCTGGAGAAAGATACTATTCCTGCCTGAACTCCCTCATAGCATTACTATGAGGCTCTAAAGCCCTTTGACAATTTAAAAAGCCATATAAATATAATTTTTTGTCTTCAGCTATCCTAATTCATAGCTTTTTAGTTAATAACTTTGCTTTCATTAATTTTTAAATAGCCAATCAAACAATCATGCAAATGAGAACATATATGTAGCATTAAAGAGGCCAGAAACATCTTTATGATTTCCTGATAATGTTTGCATGTTTTTGAACTTCCAGCTGACTAACCACACTAAGGAATTCAGATAGCAAAAGTTGAGTACTGCTAAACACTTGAAGTATAGATCACAAAAATAAAGCTAAAATACTTTATCATGAAATATTATTTATTGATATAACTCATATTTCATAAAATTATGCTATCTGAGTTAAACGGCAAACAGCCTAAGGCTTTGCAACTTTTATTCGTTGTTACTGCTCCTATCACTTTGCCCGTTTCTTTTCTTCATTCAGATCTTGCATTGATAGCAAGAGAATTGGAATGGATCACTTCCTAACTGTTAACACTTTAGCTTTGCCGCTTCCTGTGTAACACTGACAGGTTATTTTCCAACAGTTTCATTCTAAAGAGATCTTGGAGCACATCACATGTCAGTTTAAGATGGTGGCTGTAGATACTACCATCTTGACTGACAACAGAATTCACTGGAGAAAAAATACCCCTATCTAGATATCCACTGTTCTTTATTCTCTCTGCTATTCGTGAACGAGAATTTGAGAAAAAGTGAGTGTAGATTCTCTTAATCCTTTTAGTTTATTTATTTATTATAATTTTAGAGATAGGGTCTTGCTATGTTGCCCAGGCTGGAGTGCAATAGCTATACACAGGTGCAATCGTGGCACACTACAGCCTTGAACTCCTGGGCTCGAGTGATATTCCCACCTCAGTCTCCCGAGTAGCTACGACATGGTTCTACACCCAAATAACTATATTTTTTAAAAATAGCTCAACAAAATGTTCAGATTTATCACTTATGTTTAGAGAGAGAATTTGTTATTTTGCTCAGTAAGTTTAAAGAAAACTAAATGGATTATTCTTTAATCAACTGCTATCTACCACCATACCATTATTGTTTTCATACAGCTTTTAAAATGGCAATCCAAAGGGAATGTCAGTTATGCAATCATATTTCCTGAAGAAAAGTAGTAAAACAGAGAAAGCTAGCTTTCT